CACACACACACAGAGGGCTCACAGACATGCACATTGGAGAGAGATTGTAGAGTAGAGTGTATTTGTATAGCCTATATAGGGTTTAGCAAGTTGTGACATCCTCTGTCCTTCAGAGAAACTTCAGAGAGAATCACACATGAGGGACATACAGAAGTGCAATGGATGCATTAACTTTCATGTTTATCTTCTTTATAAAGTCAATTATGTGTCAACTGTGCAACGGCACCTTACAACGACACACTTACAGCAGATCAGAGAAATAATATCATTTAAAGGTTTAGTGTGTAGAATTTAGTGATATTTAGTGGTGAAGTTTCATGTTGCTTGAAACTTGTTTAGTTTGTCCAGTTTCATCAACTGTAAAAAACATGGCGGCCTCGGTAGAGAGGACCTGCTCCTGATGTAAATATAAAGTATTTACATATATGGGCCCATTCTAGTATAAAGAAAACAAACATTTGTACAGTTTAGATGAAACACACTTGTGAAACCATCACTAGAATTATGCAGATAGATCCATCTCACCTAAATCTTACACACTGGACCTTTAAGAAATTTCTATTACAGTTCAGTTCAACACTGAATTTTTTTCCTTTGTGTTTTAATCCCGTCTTTGTGTTTAATCTTGTCTTTATGCCTGTAGGTTTCAGGTCTGTCAAAACTGAAGTCCATCAACCACAGTCAAGCAACAAAAGTGCCGACGTTGGGCCCAGCCAGGGCCAGTGGACTGAGGAAGAAGTCTGTGGGATCTGGAAAGAAAGTTTCCTCCCCCAATAATGAGAACAGCCCTGGAGTCCAGGCCACCATCAGCAGCCTGTGGAAGAACTTCAGCTTCAAAAAGTAACTGAGAAATACCCAATTACTTTGTAGATCATCCGAATATTTGGGGTCAGTCATTAGTTCGGTTCACAAGACCATATCCAACAGTGTTGGCTCTTTGCTGATCACAGTAGATTGTGAACACTTTGCCACTGAGGCATTGTTGAATCATGGCTGTTAAGCCAGAATGTTTTATCAGCAGTTCGTTTTTTTATAGTTCCTAATGGAAGAGCTCTGAGACCATGTTTGTTTTGTTTTACAGAGATACCCAGAAGTTGACTTCCGGTACAGACGGAAAGCCAAAGCCCGTATCTCCAGTCAAAGACAACGTGCTGACCAGCTCGTCTCACACAGACATCGGATTAATCATCAGCTTCTGATAGATGCTTGGAATGTTTCACACAGCTCTGTGTGGGAGTGACGTTTTTAAACATACCATGTATGTCAATTCAATTATCATCAACTTGTATTTCTAGTTATAAATAAAGCAACCCTCTTATGATCCAAGTGCATCCTTGCTTTGGTTTTGAGTGAACTCTATATTGAGAGTGTTTGTGTGACATCCTTCAGGTACTGTGTGTGTTGCTTCAGCACAGCAACCAAAGAATGTGTCATGTAGTGAGGTGGCTCTAAGAATGCACAATGCATACTTGAGTGTTTACTGAAAAACCTCCTACCTGCATGCAAGCCAAAGAATGCGGCAACAAGACTGCTGGCTTGTTATGTCTCCAAAAGCATGGTGAGTATCTGCACCTTGCAGACTGAGCCGAGACTTTTCTGCTGATATATATTGATAATATTGATTATGATAGCGGTGTCAAAGGCTCTTATGTGCATCTTTAGTTATTATGTTATTTGGACAGACTAAAACCCCTGATGAGGTTTGTCCTTGTCACCCTGCTTGTAGTTTTCATATCTGTCAACCTGCAACTACTTCTGAGGAGGATATAATGGCTCTAGTCAAACTGTTTCATCTCTAGATAAGCCGAGGGAATGGCTCATTTACACGTTCTGTGTCTATAAATTATCAAATTTACATGTACCACCCAGTTTATTCAGGAGTTCCTGAATTGAAACTTCCCCCGAGCTGATTAAGGTAATAATTCTATCCCCCATTAAATGTCCCTAAGGTCAAGCCTTGAGGCCTCCTGACTCCAAGTGATTCACTTTTAATTGACAATTTTAAGGATTTGTTTAAATATACACACACACATACATACATGATAATATAGTATATACACAAGACTGGTTCATTTTAACCTTCTCTCTAAGTCTAAGTCCAATCCCAAACATCTACACATCTGCACTCCACAAGCTGTGATTCTTATTACGTTGTAAATCACCACAGGTAATAAAGACTTGTTCCCAGGTTTCTTACATCTGGTGACATTCGTGTTTTATATTCATTATTCATATATGATGAAATATAAATTTTACCCAGAACATTTTATTGTAACTTCATTACATTTGTAATATTACATATATGTCCACCAGGACATTTAAAAGTCAACATTTCCTCCCTGCTCACTGCTATTCTTATATTTACATATGACTTGTATTTAATTTCAATTGTACATTATTTTCTTCTAACAAATGGAAGGTTGAACTCACAAAGAGGAAAACACACTCTTAGTCAACTTTCCTCGTTCATTTTTGATTAGCCAGATAAAGCAGCTACAAAATAAAATGCTGTAACAGCGCATCTGGTAATACTGTTGTACTTCAACACTGCAATCATTAAGTCAATAAGTGGTGTGAATAGTTCTTCCATGACTGAGGAAGGAGACCTCCGCATCTCTGTGAGCTTTATCTTGCATGATTGTCATAGTCTACAAGTGTTGTGACAGGAGGTGAGTGTGTATGAAGGGAATTTTATTGCTTTGATCATTGCTCAATGTTGCTGTGGGCCAGAATACCAGAGCTAATCCAGATACCAGGCATACTTCAGTCGCTTTTCAACCAGCCTGACTTATTGTTGCTCAGGGGCCAGCAACCTCAGTGACTGCTTTAGCCTTGACTCAAGTGTGTCCTAATTACAGCACAGCTGAAGAGACAACAGCAGCGTATTTGATGAGATTGCCTGAATCCCACTTATTTATTTGAATTTTTTTGGTGATCTTGCAAACCTTGTTTTTATTTTGCCTTTTCACAATCTCTAAAAATAAATTGTGTAACAAAGGGAAATGGGACAAATGAAAAAAACGTGTAAACAAAGGGACATTTAACACTGTTAATGAAACAACTCCAAGCTGCTGGACCAGCTGAAAAGAGATTTTTAATACTTGACGACTCCACTGTTAGTTTTGGCAGAATGCTACCGGCTGTGCTCCACCTTGTTCTGCTGCAATTAAAGCAGGAGTTGCTCAGTATGGGAATGAGAAGGCAAGGTGCATCACTCAGGTCACATGTATTCCAACCCCAAAACTACAGGTGTTTTGATATTATGCAGGATCCCTCATGTGCATGGTGACATGGTTACTTTCCAACTGTTCATTTCATAACCCAGCTCCAGTTAGATGATATTACCTGTACACACTGTGCAGATGTAGATGTACAATTATCCTGCTTTGTGTGGAACACTCAAGGAAGTGAACCTGCAGAATGTTTGGAATGTCTGTGGTAGTGGATACAAGCAGAGAAGACGTGATTGTTTCACATTCATCACTGTACCTATTGGTTATAACTTTATGTACCTACAGTGAATACATGTGGATGTGTTGTTGAAGCTTTAAAGAGTAAGAAATGAAATCCGTGCTCTGCACAACACAGGGCCAGGAATGCAGTTTCACAGCATTCCCTTCTGAACACATGACATGAGCAGGTCCCAGTGAATAAAGCTTTTTTGTTAAAACAAATCTCAGCGAAACAATCCTGAATCAACTATACACAGGGAGGGCCATTACCTTTTACTTTGCACCTAAACAAGACAAGGGGCTGCACACAGTCATTGTGACTGAATTGATTGAAAATTGATAAGACTTGGCTGCAATAGTAAGGAAAAACTACCAAGAGAACCCTTTTGAATAAGGAGTGAAAAGCCCAGAAACCTTGAGAGAGTTGCATGTGAGGGATCCACTGAGTGTAATGAGTGGATAAGTCAGGCTGGTTGAAAAGCAACTGAACATACCACAGCTTCTTCAAACCCATAGTTAATGCATTTCACATACAGTATATTGACATTATTAGCACTACATCATTGACTCATACCATGTGAAACCAAAGAAACCTGTTGCTATGACAGTCTGATCACGTTCACAGGTTTGTAGTGGGGGGCTATAATAAAAAAAATGCAGGCCTGCCTCAACACGTTCCTTTTACATAGATCACATTTAACTGTGTATGTGACATTTGTGGGTCTGTGAAGACACCACACGTGCTCACTTGAACACTCGAAAGCATCCGGCAGCTGTGATCTTCTGTGTGTGTGGTAAACACACGTCTTAAACCACTTCAAACTAATAATGGTTTTAAAAGTGTAATTGTGAAGCTTATTTTCCTCCCACAGCTGATCATGGGTCAATTCAAATTAGGTGAAATATATGTGGGAAAAATTACATTGGTTTACCATGATAGTTCAAACACGTAGCATTCTTTCCATCTTCTAATGATGTCTTGTGAGGATGGAACATTTCTTATCACCTATTAACCACTTCCTCAAAGACAGACAGGGGGAAGGGAGGCACTAAGTTATTGAACCTTTTATATTTGTGATGGAGTGTATGCTCTACTACTTTATACTGTTCTACTTTTATTTTATTATGTAAATTGAAAAATGGTAAAAGGTACTAAATACAACTTAATTTTTTCTAAACTATTTTTAAAAGTTAGAAATCATTGAATAAAATTTCTTCAATCAAGTTATATTTTAATTAAATTATATATTTTATATAAAAAGGTGCACAATATAAAAATGATATGATATAAAAACAGTAATTATAATATTATACAATGTCGGTATGGTATTTAACCTATTTATGTTTATCTATTTATTTCTGGTTGTTTGCTTTGTTCTATTTTGCCCTTGACTATAGCTGTATTTACTGTTGCTATAACTCTATATACACATACAGCTGATGTTATGTAGTAAGTTTACATGAAAATAAATATGTGACATCGTCCTGGTCATATATCCGGAGGCAAAGTGAAATGAGCCACAATACAAGAGAGTAGAGAGAACAACTCAACAAGTGGATCTGTAAAGTTGATGTTAAATCTGAATACCTAAGCCTATCCTTAAGAAGAAGATATACTTTTATTGTCATGTTAACACTTTACATGCATACATGAAATTGTTCTCTGCATTTAACCCATCCAGTTGGCACCTGTTTAAACACGCATAGAAACACACATAGACAGATGCCAGTACAAACATATACTGGAGCGGTGGGCTGCTGTTGCCAGCGCCCGGGGAGCAGATGTTGGGGGGGGGGTGTGCCTTGCTCAAGGGAGTGGAGATCAAACCATCAACCTTCCGGTTGATTCTATAATTTCTTTTCATCGTTAAATAAAAAAAAATTGGTGAACCCTTTGCTCAAAGGTAAAATTTAGTTCTCCTGAAACTAATATTTTCAAACGGAGAGGTTTAGAACGGGAACCGCACCAGTCTACTTTAATGAATAATAAGTAGCAATCACCTGCACTAACTGTTGGCTGCCCTACAATTTTAGGAGTCAAGCTTTTTTTATCAGCTATTTAAAACTGCTGGCTCAGGTTAAACAGGATGTCTCTGTTGCAGAGGACAAAAATATTTGACTCCCCCCCCCCCCCCCCTGCTGTTCAATGTACTTAGGTAACTCAGTGTAATTTTTGAGGAAATTTCAGCTCCCAGGAATTATCTAAGCATGAAATTGATCGGAAAGTGCAGATGACAGTAGAAGCTACTGTAGAAGCTACCTCTCCGCTGTCTATATATCTACATATGTTGCCTTTCCAGTTGCAGCCATGTCTGAACTGATGGCTACTGGTCTTTTCTGTTAAGCTGCTGACATTAACATGTGCTCTGGGAAATAGTGTTTGATAGGGAAGATAAAGACAACAATAAGTACGAGATACCTATGCACATAACTAGAATTGCCACCTCACACTCGTTTGCCTCCACCGACCAGTCAAGTTGCAGGAAAATCTTTGTTGAATAAGGGCTGAGCAGCTGTGGCTCAGGGGGGAGAGCGGTCGTCTTCGGGGCAAGGTACTGAATCCCAAAATCCCCTGTTCTCATAGATAAGTGCTGCACATGGATGAACTGTAAAGAGCTTTGAGTTGTCATCTAGTCACCTAGACTAAAAAAGCAGAATATAAATATAGTCAGTATTATAGTGAGGCTGACCTTTGACCTTTGGGAGGTAAAAGGTCATCACATCATCATTTTATCCAATCAAAATATATGACTTGTGGTCAAAAACATGCCACCAAACATCTGTTCATCCCAGAGTCTGGATGTTTGTGACAAATTTGAAGAAATTCCCTCCGGGTGTCCCTGAGACAACATATTCATGGGACTGACGG